TTTTAACAGTCCTTAATTCAGTAAAATCTATATACAGGCTCTTCATACCTGCTGTTTCCTGCTTATGTATGGAAGGTATGTCTCAAAATACAGCCCTTTTTTTTTTTTCTTATCCTGTAATGCAATCTAAGATAAGGTTTTCTAAAATTAGGTGTAGTCCCTCAGGTGGCTTGTAATAAAGTGTAGTGATGGAGGCGTACCAGCCACAGTTATGTCACTTAACAGAGGAACACGGGCCTCAGCAGCGGGGTTTAGCGGGGACATAAACCCATGCCCCTGCGCCCCACTCGCAGGTCCATGACTAATGCCCTTTCTCTTTAGCAGTGTTTTACTTTGCCATAAAATTTTAGTTGTATAGTTGCTACATGCTATGAAAATGTAAACGCCCCCAAATTAGAGGAAGAACATTTCAGAGGTGGAAGAAGCAATTCCTTCTTTTCTCAAGGGGAATTAGTGAGGGTCCGTGGAGTTAGGGTTTGTTCCGAGACCCTTTGCTGAAGGGCTCCATCGAGGACCCAGGCAAGGTTTGTTGTGATATTTTGCGACAGCTTGTCTGTTGGCTCTTTTTTATGAAGCCTGTGAAATGCTTCATGTTCAGAGTGTTGTTTTCAGAGTGGAATATTCCCCAATGGTAGTAGTATTATTGCTAAGCTTTGGTGAGCAATGCTGCGAAAAGAATATGCAGGGAATTAATATTAAACCAAATCCTTACTCAACCTTTCTCTTTACTCAGTACGTAACTGCCATTGCATGCATTTTTGTCTGTGCATCTCCTAGCAGAGGCAGGACATGACACGCATGGCTCTCCATTAGGTGGGTCAGTAGCAGAGGGCTGAAGGCCTGCTCTGAAGCCTCTCCCCCCCGATGTGTGTAGCTACTACAACGTATGGAGCCTCGGCCGTTGGGGCCGGTATAACCTTCTTCCTGCCTGATAACCTGAGGCCGCCACTGCCTCTGTAAGATGATTTAACTGTTTCTCTGCTTGACACCAAGCTTCACCCTCAGAAGCTTTCTTGCAAGTGGATGTCTGTACAGGGACTGCAATTAAAACATCTTGAGACTTTGCAAGTCTTAAAACAGTCTGCTCCCAGTTGTCCTGCTGGATAAGCTAAAGTAAATCTTGTAACCTTTCTGTGGCTTTACATATATCTACCTTCCTTATGATTCAGTCATGATATTTATCTGCTGAAAAACATTATATGAGGAATGTATTGAAAGCCTTGGATGACAGCCACCTGGGTTTTGCAAAATGTTGCTATAGGCTTAACCTGAAAAAGTGGATGGCTTTCATTATTGGGGGTTTGGTGCCATTCCTGACACCGGCTTTTTTGGCACGGGTTAGATCTGGTGCTGTCAGTGAGCTTAGGTGGAAATTGATCCTGGAGAAAGGAAACGAAAACTGGTTTCACCCCAGTAGGATTAGCTGTGCTTGAGTGTACCGTCACGGCTCCTGTAATTGTCGCAGCTTTGGTCCGTGTTGGCTGCAACGCAAGGAATTGCTCACGGGCTGACTTATGTCTGTAAATAGTCTTGTAGCTGCAGTTCTCCCTCCAGCACCTCCACCCTCAGCTTGCATCATTGTGATGGAGAAGTTTCCTACTTTTCTTCTCTGCTTGCAGCTGATCAAGAGAGTAGCAACTGAGCTAAGTCTGAGACAAAACAGCCCTGTTAAGTCTCTTATTGGGCTTGTGCACCTCTGCACTTAGTTTGACATGAGCTGTGAAATCGGAGTAGTCCCTCCCTGCACTAACTCTTAGACAAGAAGAAAACACACTGATACGACTGTGCTTGCTGACTGCCTCTGAATGTTTTGTGCGCAGATATGTCTATTACTTTATTATCCAGCTAGTAGAAAGCCATTTCTCACCAACAGTGACAGCCAGCATAAGCTTAATGACTTCTAGAAGTCTGAAACTAGGATAAAAGGGAGTGGGGGGTGCCTTATAAATCTCCCAGTTGGGAACTGTTCTTCATGTTATCAGTATATTTGATTACTGCCATCGGCAGTGAGCTAGCTGCAAGCTGTTTAACATAACCATACTTCCACTGCTTTTTGTAAAGTCTAACTTAAAAGTGCTAATTTAAAGTGCTAGGGAAACGTCTGCCACGTCTGTGAGGTGCTCACTGAACAGAGAAACACATCTGATTGCGATCAACAGCATCTTATGTCTGACTTAGTGTCTCTTTCTTCAGCCTTGCGGCATGTAGTCTCTTTGGGATTCCCGGTGAGCCGAGCTGTGTAGACTGAATTCTTTTAAGCATTCCTCCATCATGTGCATTGGGTTGTAGAAGCTAAACATGAAAAGGCCACCTAATAGTAAATCAGTCTGGGGTGAATTGCTGTTGTGGGATGCACAGACAGAATTGGTAGGGGAAGAGAAGGGGTACGTGACCTAGAAACATCCATTTGAGTAAGTCTTGCCTCTTGGGACACTTAAGACCGGACTGGATTAGAAAATAGAAAATTTACAGCGGGGGACATCTTTTGCATTAACTAGATTAAACTTCTGCCATCCCTGATGAAGATGGGTCTAGTAAAAGCATGTGTCTAATCAAAACCCCTGCAAAAGCTGAAAGAGCTGCAGGGCTTGCATCTGTCACCTGAGCTTGTCGGATATCCATGTTCTGCAATCGCCCTACGCATGGTTTGCTGTCTCTAGGAGGCAACATCAGGTTTGCTTCAGGAAAGCCCTTTGCACCAAGTTCTTGCAAAACTGAGAAGTGAAAGCAGTTGCTTTTTCTGAGAATGACTGACTGTTTTGATGAAGCGAGGAGTCCCCTTCCAGAGATGAGCAAGGCACTCCCCTCCTTTCTGTTTCTGACGAGGCTCTGGAAGGATTTGGAGGGCGAAAGATTGCCTTATTTAATGATATGTTCAAAGTTAATCTTCTTCACCTTCAGACTGGAAAGGTACGCCATTTATTGTTGTCTTCTGCACACACCGGTTTCTCTTTCCACAAATCAGACAGCTGTTGGAGATCTTCCTGTCTTGCTCCTGTTACAGTGCCCTGGACTTTTTATTAGTCTTTATTCCATGATGTGCTAGAAGATGTTTGGCCCTTTGTGGCATTATAACTTTTTCCTTCTTTTGAATCTGTTTCTTCCCAAATAAATCAAAAGGAAACTTACATTATTTTAACTTTGTGATAGTGCCTTCCTGAAAGGGATCCTAGGAGTATGAAGGGCTCACGAGGATCCTAAAGCACTTTAACTTGACCTCATATTTCCATAGTGCTAACATTCTTTGGCATAAAAAAATGGAAGCTAATGACTTGAAATACTTTCCTTTTTTAAATGTAATTATTCTGGCTGCCTAATGTCTGGTATTGTAACCTGAATCCTGATCTTATCAGCAGTTTGCTCCTTGGCTTTAAAGCTGAGCATTGGCACGAGCTATACTTTTGGCCATATTGTGTTTCATAAATACGTGATGGTGCATTGATGACAAATACAAGAGTCTTCCTCGGTGCTAAAGGAACTGGTGGTGAGGAAAAAAACCCACACAGTAATGTAAACAGCTTTTAACTTTTTTGCCAAGGCAAGTGGCTCGTATGAAAAGACAAACCTGGAAATTTTGTCAGGCAGCAAGCTTGATGGCATTTTGCTGTGGTGGGGTTATTGTGTCTTCCTGTGTTAAGAGCCTGCTGGCTTTCCTTGGGTGTCTTGGTTTTGCAGATGTGGTAGTGGGAAGTTTTATGTTGAAAGTGTTACTTGGCCTTGTAATCTTAATATAATTTAATGATTAACAGGACTATCTTTAGTCTCTGCATAAAGGGAGAAGCTTCCTGACTTCACATACTTGGTTTGATGCAAGGGATACTTTTCACTTCACTCATTTCTGTTAACTGGCTACCATGCACATCAGACCTGTTAATACACCATGCCTGGTGTTATCCAGGCCTTTTCTTCCCTCAGTTGTTTTTGCTCAGATTTTTCCACTGGTGTGCCCGAACAATGGCATGGAGGAGCCTCTTCCTTCTGCGAGAGAAGGAGGATTTGGCCTCTGCTTCTTCAGTCTTGGAGTGTTACAGGTTTGTTTATTATTTATATCTATGAGTAAAACCCATATAAATATATAAATATAAATAAATAAAACCCAGGATAGATGTGTTCTTTATGAACAGGATTATCTTTCATAATTTTAGGTGGCTAACTTTTAGGCATTTAGTCTGGGCCGTCTCTTCAGATGCAAGCTTGTATACACTTGCAGTGAAGCACCGTGCGGGGTGCTCGTTTCCCTTCCTTTTCTGCCCCGAGCCCAGGCAGCTATCTTGGGTTCAGCATCTTGCTTTCAGACAGCGGCAGCGAGGCAAGATCCATCACGCCCGGCCTCTCTCTGTGTTCGACCTCCGTAGAGAAAATCTGGTGGGCGCCTGATACGTGGCGTGGTGGCGGTGGCAGCCGCCGGCGGGGAA